TCTTATAGATTGGCAACTTGTAACAAACAAAACAGAGAATAGGGGAAACGCCAATTTTAATATTGGCAAGATGTGCAAAGATGACCTATAAAGATTTCCACAGGGACTGGTATGCTTTTTAACTTATATATAAATATCTCGAGTTGGGGTTAAGCAATGAAGTGGCAATGTTACCTAATGATAAACTATTCGTAGTAATAAAATTGAAATGGTAAACTTTCAGAGAGTTCAAACAGCAAACAGCCTGTTTCAGTTTCAGCTTCAGTACAGCTTGATTAGCACAAGCAGCTGATTGTCAGTTGGATCGGCCTCCTGACTATCAGCTGTTTCAGGCTGCAGGGATTGCCATTACCTATTGCTGCCTCCGTGTGCCCCATTTTCAGCCTCCATGTGCCCCATTTTCCGCCCATTCTGATCCCCACCACCTGGAACAGGTGGAAAATGGGGTGCACAGAGGCCAAAAATGGTCTGTGCGGAGGATGAAAACGGGGTTCATGGAGGTGGCAATAGTCTATGGCAATCCCTGCAGCCTGAAACAGCTGATGGTTGGGAGGCCAATCCAACCAACAATCAGCTGCTTGTGCTAATCAGGCTGTGTTGAAATTGAAACACGCTGTTGGCTGCAAGGAGGCAAATTGCTGGGAGGCAGAGACAGATATTTTTTTCTTGTGCTAATCAGGCTAAACTGAAATTGAAACATGTTGTTTGCTGTTTGCTACGAGGAGGTAAATTGCTGGAAGGCAGAGGCCAAAGGGTGGGGGCCGGTGGGTGGGTGGGACTACAATCAGTGTATAAGATGCACCCAAATTTTCACCCTCTTTTTTGGGGGGGGTGCATCTTATACTCCAAAAAATACAGTACTTGAAGCACTTGGTACCTTAAAAAATTATAAGGGAGAAAACATACCCCCAAAAAACAACCAAAATGTTAATTGGTCAGGGCAGTTCCCCTAAAACAGTGGTCCCCAATCTTTCCAGCTTGGCGGAGGCAGTTGGGTGGGGTGGGGAGAAGGGATGTTTTTGCACACATGCATGCACTACTTTCACAAGTGCAGCTTCATGTGTACACTCGCGCACACCACTTCCACAGCCCAGTTCTGAATGGGCTGCAGCATGGCACTGGGCTGCGGCCTGGGGGTTTGGGGGATCTCTGCCTTAAAAGGAAAGAGTACAGTTATTTAAGCTCTTTAACATAAGAAGGAGTGTAATGGGAATTTTGGTAGTTTATAAAATTGTGTATCTCCTAGGTAATGTGGATAGAATGATTCAGGATAATATATACCACATAAATTGACATTTGCTATCAGCAGTTGTGGTAATGGAAACCAATTTGGATGATATTAAATGAGGACTGGATGTGTTAGTAAATAGTAATGACTATTTGCTACTCCTAAAACACAGACAGTATGGCTAAAATACTGGTTACCAGGAAGTAACAATTAAAGGAACTATTATCCTCCCATTCAGGCTAAAATGCCGTTGGATGCTCTTGCCCTGCAGAGCTCTTCTTATATATTAGCTATAAATATCTTACTCTCATGATTTCAATAGCTTTGCTTTAAATAAGTTTACAAGTGGATGCAACTTAATACAAAGATTTTCTTGTTTAAATAAGAATCTCCTGGTGAATGAATTTCAATAACAATTATCTACATTGTAAAGATTGATCAGAATTATGATGAGCTTGATCAAATGAAACATTAATACAGTTTTATTTAAAATGCTATTTTTGAGGCATAAAAACAAAAACTAAATAAAAAATAAACACACAGAAAACAACATATCATGATCATATAATAAAAATAAGATGGCAATCCAGAATGATTCAAGAAAGGATTTTTAAAACACAGTCTTTTAGCACATTAAAATATTATGAATGTAAAGTAACATGCAGTGGTTTTTTTCCAGAAAATCTTTAAAGACTTAAACTTTATGAAAATTAATACTAGAGATCACTTGCTGTGAATAGTTAGTATACATATCTGGCAATACTAAAATTTGTGGACACTTTTCTGGAAATGTATAAATTTATCAATTATACACAAATATAAATGCTTATGCACAATTCTACTAGCTTGTTCACATTTAATAGCATCACTTTTGACCAATATATTGAGAAAAATATTCTATAATATCATGTGTTTTCAATATCAAGCAGTTTGAGGATGATCCTAAGATTTTAAGAGTATATTAATTCAACTGTATACTGCTTCTCACATATACATTTAACGCAGTTCTTTCTACCCATTTTAAGAGAAGTTGCGAAATTTCAGATTATATCATTTTCATCAGCAAAAGACATTGTTTATTACAATTTATTTCTAGGATTTAAGACAAAAGAAGTAACACTTTACACAACATGAACAACATCACATAGCATACTGAAAATTAATATCCAGTTGTCATTAAACATAGCTGGCAACTTAAATCAAAAGCCTACTTCTCTTATTAGGACCACGGAGAAAGACAACAGCATGCTACAACTTGGTACCACAATTTTTATACTTAATCAACAAAATTAAGGGATGTTAACAAATTTGGCCCAATTAAAGCAACATCAAAATAGAAATGGAAAAGCATGTGTTATAAATCAAATTTAGATTCAGACCATGCTGCCCTATTTTTTTCCTAATACACCAGGAAATGTAGCAGTGACTAAACATCGAGGTCATACTAAAGAGGTGGTCTACAGAACTCAAATAAGGGTTATAAATAAACAAAAAGAAAAAAGAAAAAAGAGAGAAGTGCATTATAGACATATAGGTATATGGCTTTAATTCTAATTAACTGCAATATTATATTCAGTATTCTATTTTCTATGGTAATCAATCTCCATGGGAGAAATGGAACGTAATTTAGTAGATCATTCACCAGGGCATTCTCACCATTTCTTTTTCTTCCTTCCTCTTTTGTCACTTTCTGCTGTGCTGTAACTTTCTGTGGAGAGCCTCGGCCTGAATTGTGCTTTCCTGATTCGTTGCTGATGACAGAACCATTTTCACTCAGCGACCGGCTGCAAGTAACCATAGCAACAAGGAAGAAGACTAAGTTTTTACTGCATATTTGTCATTTCAAGGTTATTGCATTTGTTTGGCCTGCATCACCGCCTATTCCAAGCCTGATTTTTATGGACAAATAAATATTTATAGTACGATGCAATGAAGAAACATAAAAACAGCAGGAAGGCATCCATAGTATTTCCAGGGGAGGGGGTTGTTATAACAACCAGAAGTCAGAACAATCTCTATGCGTGGCTATTGTTTTCTTTATAAGCTCACAATAATAAAGGGAAAATCTTGCAGCAAAAAAAGATAAAGGTTTTTTTTCCCCTCACATAGAGGCCATTAAATAAATAATTCTCAATACATGCATCTTTATTCTAATATTGGTTTAGCATATTGCTACAGACTCATTCCATGGCTTTTTATATAATCGGAAGAGAAATAAAGAATATTTCCCAGTAGGGAATTCATCTTTAGCCATATTTCAAAAATAGCACTAGGCTAAAGGGCACTAATAATCTAAAATGTTTAATAGTCTCTGGAAAGAGGGAGAAAGCTTTTTTTAACCATTGCAAGATTTCCTTTTGTGAATGTATAACTAAGATATTCAGATGTGGATTCGTATTCCTGTTCACAGCCTGTGTAAATATTATGTACACATTTTCAAACAGTAAAGCAAGCAGCAGGGCACAGCTGGTTTAATAGTCAAACCTGCAAGAAAACAGGAACAATCTGCTTACATTTTAAAAATAGCCATAAACCAACCACCACACTCCTATGCCTTATTAAAACAAGTCATGATTATGAACTCTATTTTGAATATAATTCATTTCACTCATCCTTACTTGGATTGGAACAGTTCATCTAATGTCTAGATCTAAGTATAACAGCAAAGAATGAACAGGTGTAAGTGTAACAGCAAAATAGTTGGCTGGAGATGAAGTCAAAATTTGTAATCTCTTCTATGTCACTGTCCTTGTTCAGATGGCTTTGGATCTTGTGCACCAATGTGAAATTAGAAAAGGATTTCTGTATTGTGGAACCAATTGGGTGTCTAGGGCATCCCTCAAATATGAACCAATTTCTTTGCAGCACTATAATTCCATTCAAAACAGGTTGATTAGGTCTCACACATGCAGATATTTTAACAATGCATTATTTTTCTTGATATCTTGTTTAAAAATCTAAGTGTTTAAAACTATATCTGTGCCACAGAGGTTTGAGCAGATTTTTGTGTGTTTGAAAAGACTGAAATTGTAAGCACGGAACCATTACAAAAATCTGTCAACCATCTAATCCCTAGTCTTTCTGCTGATCTTGCTCACCTCTTTCTTGTGTCATTGGACTTGGCAGTTTTTGCTGTGCTCCCATCCTGAACGATTTCCCTTTCCTGGGATGCAGGGGCATCTCTCACCGGAACAGGCAAAACTACAGTCTCTTGGGTAACAGGCAAAACATCATCCTCAGTCCCTTGTTGGCCTAAATGTTGCTTGGCGTAGTCAAAACCTTGAACCGGCTGGAAAAAAAGTGGGGACTCAATGATATACATTGCATGTATCTAAAAGTGATGAAAGTATGTACTTAATGAGTTGGTATTCACTTTAAGTATTTTAAAGCTGAACTTAAAGCTACATTTTTCCCCACAAAATATAACATCTACTGTTTAAACAAAGTAAGATTAGTCCAATTTCATGCCTCCATTTTTGGCTGGTGTGACTGATGGGATTCAACTTCTTAGCATCCCTAATATCCTCATATGAGTTGCAGTTAAAATGGCAACAAAGGCAAGAGATTCCAGGAACAGTGGTGGTAAAAAAGAAAACACTGCAAACAACAAGTGAGCATTTGAAAAGCATCACAGGTTGATATTCGATCTGACACAAGTTTACTTTTAAACAGCTACTGACTTACTGGACTGAAATCAACAAAAAGATTCAGACAAGTAGAAAAGAAAATATACTTTTGACCTTGCAAAAATTACTTGTCTTGAAATATTAATCTTCTAAACTACAAAATAGAAACCAGTATTTCACACTTTTAAACTACATCTTGGAACATATCCATTTTTAAACTTTACCAGTGGGACACAATTGTCTGTTATCCACAATACCATCTGCTTCATGTAAATATTAACTATTCTTATGACAATAAATTACATAACAGATGTATTACATATTACACAAGTACACCGGTTCTAAAATAGTAGTTTAAACTGAGCTGTTACAATTTGTAACACATGGTTTTAAACAAATGGAAACAGAATTCTTATTTCAATTTTTTTAAATCAAAAATTTATCTGTAACTATCACACATCTTAAATTTGAGCAAAAAGAAGATAATTTAAGTGCTTAGCTTAAGTTTTATGGCTTTCCCTTTGGTATCATAGGAAGGTGTTCTTGGGAAGCAGGACAGTTTCACAATATGTAAAGTAAATTTAAGGGGTAGAACTATAACATCCACTGTCCAAATATATTGTCATATATTTGGGATTGGAATGGAAAAAAATAGGATGCCTTAACAACCATTGCCAGAACTATAAATATATATACCGTATTTTTAGGAGTATAAGAAGCACCTTTTTCCCTCAAAAAAGAGGCTGAAAATCTGGGTGCATCTTATACACTGAATTCAGCCTCCCCAAACCCCACCCTTCACCAAAATGGCCGTGCAGAGTCTGTAGAAGGCTTTCAGAGAGCTCCTGGGGGCTGGGGAGGGCAGAAATGAGCAAAGGCTGTTTTTTGCTCAGTTTTGGCTCCCCAGCCCTCAGGACAACTCTATAAGCCTCCTAAAGGCTATCCATGGCATTTTTTTTTACATAAAACAGGCCTGGTTTTTTTTTTATTTTAAAAAACGAGCCATTTTTGGGAGGTTTGTAGAGTGCAAAAACTTTTTTTTTTAATTTGCTTCTTCAAAACCTCGGTGCGTCTTATACTCCAAAAAATATGGTAATTTTAGTGGGAAACCTCTCCCCTTTTCATTACTAATTAATACGGTTGGACCAGGATTAGTAGCTGTGTGTGCAGAAGTAAAATAGGGTAATCCTGGAACTAGTTCTGAAAAGAAAACAGAAAGCTTATTTTGATGTAGGTCTACGATCCACTAACACTCCAATTGTGGAACAAAATCAACTGAAATAATACTATGAATCTGTACAGTCAGCTTGTGTATAATATGTGTCTGTATATAAACTTTAGAATATAAAAACAATTTATTTCTGCAGAAACTGAACTGTGACTAAATATTAGCACCTTTGAAACTTGTCACTATTCATATATGGGTAAGATTACTTAATCAGAATAGAAAATCCCTATTTCTATGTGACACAAAATAAACGAGGAAAAAAACAACAGGAAAACATCCTTTACTATTTTACTGAACAAAATCCTAGGAGGAATAGAAGTATTAGCATCATCTCTTCTTCTCCAGTCTTAACAATTTGCAATAGCAATAATACTTAGACTTACATATTGCTTCTCAGTGTTTTACAGTCCCACTTTAAGCAGTTTACAGAGTCAACCTATTGCCCCAACAATCTGGGTTCTCATTTTACCAACCTCGGAAGGATGGTAGGCAGAGTCAACCTCGTCAGGATCGAATTGCTGACAGTCAGCAGAATTAGCCTGCAATATTGCATTCTAACCACTATACCACTACAGCTCTTTTGCTTAATGAATGCTTATAGGGCCAATAAGATTTGAATCTGATGGTTCTATGGTGAATGAAACCCGCAATGGTTTTAAATTACTTTTATCACAAGAACAACTTTTCCTATGAACCCAAACATCCTTTTTAAAAATGCTGGACATCTCAATGTTCAAAAAGTTGGTTCATAAAAACTTTACTTTTCCTGCAACCTGAAATTATTCATTACTTTGTTGAAATAAACAGTTGATAGCATCTATACACGAATCACACATGGACCTATCATCTATATATCTGTACCCAAATTACATCTATAGTTTTCAATTCTTTATTTTTTAAAAGAAAAATATAACAGATTGAATAACTACAGGCAAAGTTTCTCATCCTTTCTCAATTCTTAACAGGCATAATATGTTTTCATTTTTAAATATAAACAAGATGTGTCAAGTCAATAATCAATTAATTTTCAAAATGTTAAATTAATTTTTAATTTTATTTTTCTTCTACCCTGCTGCAACAACTCTTGGCAGCTTAGACATTATCTAAACAAAAATTAAAACATCCATGATGGGCTAAAACCAATCAAAACAAAAAGACTAAATAGGATGATAACCCTATCAATCTCACATAGGTTCAAAGTAAGTCCTCAAAAATAACTTTTTAAAAAATTTTTCAGCAAAACTGACAAGGAGAATGCCAACCTGATCTCTATCAGGTGCCTGGTTTGAAGCTCATCACTTCCTTTAAAAAGTATCACTAACTAATCTTAGTCACATAAATCTCTTAGAAATGTGAGATTCAAGGAAGTTTCCCTCTAGCTGTTCCAATTGGTTGTGCTGATGATGGTTGGAGCATATGGACCTGAAAGTATCCAGATACAAGTCATAAATGAATATGTAGGTCAATATCAGCATCTTAAATTTTACCTGGAAACTAACTGGTAGCCTATGAATAGCTTGCCATGAACACCAATAAACTTATAGGCAACTGCTTTGTGGACCAATTGCAGATTCTGGACCAGTTGCAAATTGCAAGAATATCTTTTAACGGCAACTTAATGTAAAGTTCATTGCAATAGGTGGTAATACAACATGAATTACTGTAGATGAGGCTTCTCTCCTCAAGTAGAGCTGCAACTAGCACACTAATCATAATTTCTGGTCACACCTCTATCTGCTGATAAACAGGAACTGTGAATTCTCTAGGATAGGGACCCGCTGCTTATGTGGAAATTGTATTGGGAGAGTTCCCTTTCCTCCTATTCCTCCTATTTCATCCTATTTGGTCTGATTTTTGGCTCAACATTAAGAGTCTATAAAACTACAGAGACTCCAACTGTTAATCAGCTTTGCATTACTATTTTCTGTTATACAGATTTATAATCAGGATGCAATATGTGCCAAAAAGTTCTCTGTTTGCAAATCTCTACTTATACATTCACCAAGGAAGTGAAGATTCTGAAAGGGCATTACTTCTATGGAAATATGGAAGTTTGGTTAGAACTGAAACTATCCAACTCAGAGCTAGATATCTAACAGCAATTTGAACCATGCAGAAGAATAGGCCCGAGTAACTCTCACACTAAATTTGCTTGGAGGGACTATCACCAGCACTTGCTTGATTCAAACTGCTGATCAGTTATGTTACATCAAGTTGGTGTTGCCTCGTAGAAACAATACAATAGACCTCAACTTATGCCACAATTGAGCCCCAAAATTTTGTTGCTAAGTGAGGCAATTGTTAAATGAGTTTTGTCCCATTTTGCAACCTTTCTTGCCATAGTTCTTAAATGAATCATTGCAGCGGTTGATAATAATGCAGCAGCATTGAAAAAAGTGACATGACCATTTTTCATACTCATGACTATTACACCATCCTCATGGTTAAAATTCAAACTCTTGGCAACTGGTTCATATTTATGACAGTGTCCTGGGGTCAGGTGATCAGCTTTTGTGACCTTCTGACAACCAAAGTCAATGGGGAAGCCAGATTCATTTAACAAAGGTGTGACTAATTTAGCTGCAGTGATTTACAACTGTGACAAGAAAGGTTGTAAAATCACTTAACAAATGTCTCATTCAGCAACATAAATTTTGGGCTCAATTGTGGTCGTAAGTCAAGGACTACCTGTATTCCATTAACTCCAGTAAACTTCTGACCTGCTAATGATCAGAGTGCTGATCTAATTTCATCTTCTAGTATCAGAGGTTTGTGCTAGTAGGAAATACTGTCTAAGAGATGAGATAGGGTAGGGTAGGGTAGAGTAGAGTAGAGTAGAGTAGATTAGAGTAGAATAGAATCTGGAAGGGACTTTTGATGTCTTCTCGTCTAGCCCCCTGCTCAACAGGAGAACCTATACTATTTCAGACAAGTGACTCTAGTCTCTTCTCAAAAACTTCCAGTGATGGAGCACCATGATTTCTGAAGGCAAGCTGTCCTACTCTTTAATTGTCCTCACTGTTAGAAAGTTTCTCCTTAATTCCAGATTGCTTCTCTCTTTAATTAATTTCCAACCATTGTTTCTTGTCCTGCCCTCTGGTGCTTTGGAGAATAATTTGATCCCCTCTTCTTTGTGGCAACCCCTCAAATACTGGAATACTGCTATCATGTCACCCCTAATTCTTCTTTTCTTTAGACTAACCTAACCCAAAACCTGCATTCTTCATATGGTTTAGTCTCCAGACCTTTGATCATCTTAGCTGTTCTTTTTGAACTTTTTCCAAAGTCTCAACAACTTTTTTGGTAGTATGATGACCAAAATTGGTTGCAGTTTCCCAGGTATGGTCTTACTAGAGTTTTGTAAAGCAACACTAATCTTGGATATGGGTAACTCTATTGCACAGAATTTCAGTGTCTGGTACTCTTTTTCTGAATATTTCCTTTATCTTCTTTGAATTTGTTGCTATCTCTTCACTGAAATACCTTAAGCATAGCAATTTCAGATAAAAATGTCTTTTTGAGTTTGGAAATCTTTTAGTAGACTTTGTTTTTCTCTGTCAATTTCCATCTATATCTTTACAGTCAGCTTTAGCCACGTCTTTGCTGTTATAATTTAGCTCTTCCACTTCCCTGTGCCAGTAATAAAGTCAATTTGAATTCTGTGTACTCCATCTGCTGATGTCCCTATACATAAGCAACTTTTGGTTGCTAAAAGACTGCATTAGTAATGAAGAAATCACTGGATTGGCAGAAACTATTAAATCATACCACTTCATTTCTCTTTTCTAGGCCATACTGTTCAACTACATTTTCCTCTATACTGTTTCCAATTTTGGCATTCTAATCTCCATTCATAAACGGCACATCCTGTTCAGCTTTTAAACTGAACATGACCATAAAACTCAACTTTCTTCTTCATCTGCATTAGTAGTTGAAGCACAAACTCAGATAAGGGTTATATTAAAGAATTGTCCATGAAATCTAATTGATATTATACCAACTGCATTATACCCAAGAACTGCTACAGCTACATCCTTTTTAACCATGAAACTATATTGTTCCTTCTTTGTTTTTTCTGCCCTGAGTAGTAACAGAGCGATCTTCTGACTGAAAGCACCCAATTCCAGTCCGTTTCACGCTGATGTCTAAAATATCCATTTTAGTTGTTTCATTTCATTTTTCAGTACGTTGAGCTTTCCAATGTTAATGCTTCTTAAATTTATATTCCACTATTATTCTTTCTTTGCAGCTTTTACTTTCCTTTTCCTGCATGACAACATCATCAGCAAAAACAAAAATCCCAAAGGCTTTAATCTGACCGTTGTATAAACATTTTTTTACTCTGAAAGATCCTCTGCTCTTCCTCAAAAGCATATTGACAGCTATCCAACTTGAGGGACTCATTATCTGACTTGATGTTATCGGTTACTTTTTCTTGTCTATCCATGTGGTTTCCTTGGTAAAATAAAGCAGTGGTGTTTACCATTGCCTTTTCCACACAATATGAAAATATGCTTAAAGTGATAACCCACCTCCAGCAACTTCCTATATTGCTGCTGCCGAAATAGATGTCTCCTTCCTTTAGCCGCAAAACTAGTAGGAACTTCACTCTTTGGGTGACCCTGTTGGGGTCATATATTCTTGGCATACATTCCAGTGTTCTTGTTCATTCTTCCCAGGAACATCCCTTCCCCACCACAATGAGGCAGCACAGCAAGATGTGGGAAGAGGCTAATGGACTGGTAGATAAATTATTAATTGGCTGGAACTGCTCTATTTCTTGTTTCAAAAGAAGCTTCCCCCCTCCCCCCAGTTCTTAATTTTATTTCAACTTCCAATTGTTGCAGCCCTTTTTATCTGACCATTTTGAAATGGGGCTTTCGTTGGTTTTAAACTGGAATAAGTTTATTGACTTGGCATAAAGTAAGGCACGTCCTCTCGAGTTTCAAATTTAAAATCATTTGCTGCAAAT